CCGAGCGCGCCGGGCCCGCGGAGGAGCCGGGGGGCGCAGGGACCCCCGCTCCGCCCGCCGCTCCCGCTCCCACCGACCGCGTGGCCGCCGCTTCCCCCCGCCCACAGCGCCCCCCGCCCGGCCTACCTGCGCCGGTCCAGCCGGGCTGCGGGCGGCACCGACGGCGGGACGAGACGGGACGGGACGGCCCCCGATCCGCCCCCGACCCGCCCCGTCCCTCCCCCCGATCCGCCCCTCGTTCCGTCCCTTCCATCTCCCTGATCCGTCCTATCCATCCCCACCTGATCCACCTCCCATTCCGCCCCGTCCCTCCTCCCGATCCGCCCCGTCCATCCCCCTCCGATCCGCCCCGATCCGCCCCGTCCCTCCCCTCGGTCCGCCCTGTCCATCTCCCCGATCCTCTCTGTCCCTCCCCACGATCCACCCCGTCCCTCCCCCTAATCCGCCCCTTGGTCCGGACGCCCCGTCCCTCCCCGCGCCCCGATCCGTCCCGGTTCCGTCCGGCCCGTCCCCCGCCCCGCTCCTCCCGGTTGCGCCCGGTGCATCCCGCCAAGCAGGAGCGGAGAGCGGCGCTCGCCACGTCCTTTATTGCGGGGCTGGGGGCTCGGGGACTGCGAGCGGCGCGAGGGGTCCCGGGTTGCGGAGCTGGGGGCTGCAGGCGGCGCGGGGGTCCCGGAGCGGAGATCCCGGTGCGGGGGTCCCGGCGCGGGGGTCCCGGTGCGGGGGGTCCCGGTGCGGGGGTCCCGGCGCGGGGAGTCCCGGCGCGGGGGTCCCGGTGCGGGGGTCCTGGAGCGGAGATCCCGGTGCGGGGGGTCCCGGCGCGGGGGGTCCCGGTGCGGGGGGTCCCGGAGCGGGGATCCCGGCGCGGGGGTCCCGGTGCGGGGGTCCCGGCGCGGGGGTCCCGGCGCGGGGGGTCCCGCTGCGGGGGTCCCGGCGCGGGGGTCCCGCTGCGGGTGGTCCCGGTGCGGGGGTCCCGGCGCGGGGAGTCCCGGCGCGGGGGTCCCGGTGCGGGGGTCCTGGAGCGGAGATCCCGGTGCGGGGGGTCCCGCGGCCGCCTCGGCGCTTCAGCGCTTGGAGAAGTCTCCGCCTGCGGGCCGGGGGGTGGCGGTGAGGAGGGGGCGCCCCGGGGCGCCCCCGGCCGC